TTTTTTTTTGATAAAGCCATGGTACGGATATGCATTTGCCAAATATATTGTCACCGAATATAAATTAAATGGAAACCCGCAGCATGATTTAATCATTTATGAACTTGGAGCTGGAAATGGAACTTTGATGTTAAACATTTTGGATTATATTCAGAAATTTGAACCTGCAATTTATAAAAAGACGAAATATCGTATTGTGGAAATTAGTATAAAATTAGCTGAAAGGCAAAGACAAATTCAGGATTTTCGAAAAGTTACCAATGTTCATAATTGTATAGAGATTATTAATAAGAACATTTTTGATTGGGATGAACCTGTAAATGAACCTTGCTTCTTCTTGGCTTGTGAAGTTCTGGTAAGTTTTCGAATTTTTTTTTTTTATTGTTGAATCGAAATTGTTATTTTATTAATTAAAATGGATTGTCAGGATAATTTTGCACATGATGTGATCCGTTATGAATTTATGACCGAAAAACCAATGCAAGGAGTTGTTGTAACGAATGAAAAAGGGGAATATGAGGAAATTTATGAGCCCGTCAATGATCCTCTTATTACGCGTTATTTAACTTTACGTAACAAGACAACATACAAAACACCGGCACTTCAAAGACGTTTCTATCGCAAAATGCGAAATAAACTTCCTTTAGCACCTAACCTTACACAATCAGAGTTTATACCAACAAAAATGTTACTCTTTCTTGATGTGTTGAAAGATTATTTTCCACAACATCGTTTAGTTATTTCTGACTTTTATAAATTACCGGACTCTATTCAAGGTGTTGATGCTCCAGTAGTACAAACAAGATATCAAAATGCAATGGTTCCTTGTTCAACTTATATGGTACATCCTGGATGGTTTGACATTTTCTTTCCAACAAATTTCGAGTTATTGAAAGACATTTATCAATTAGTTTGTCGTTCTAGTCGAGCAGAATCTGAAAAGGTTAAAGTACTGCAGCAGAAAGAATTTTTGAAAAGATATGCTGAATTAGCTAGAACTCAAACTAAAAGTGGAGAAAATCCAATTTTAATGTATTATGAAAATGTGAAATTTTTACTAAGTTGAGGACAATAATTTTGTTGGAAATTATATATATTATTTATTTTAATTTTTTTTTTTGTAATATCAGTTTTAGATTGCAAAAAAAAATCATTTTATTTGAAACAGGGAACATTTTTGTTAAAAAACAAGTAGTTTGTGATTGCATATATATATATATTATCCTTACAACATACAAAACCTAATAATATCACTATTAATAAACGTCACGTAAAAATTTTACAAATGTTTTTCGATACTCATCTCTTGAAAGTTGAATAATAAAATTGGATATGGAGATAATGCGCGATTCAAATATTATCGTTTTGTTCTTAGAAGGTTTGGAACCCTTGAATCATTTGAGATTTCTTATTTAATATACAGCAAATTAGATACAATTTGAATTAAAGTTATGTATTTGCATTTGTTAACTTATGTCACGCACTTGTACGGATTAAGATTCTGTATTATAATATTTTTTCTATCACATATTGGCGGTGATATATGTACTACAACATGCTTATTTTTGAACATAAATATTATTATTACTGATAATTACTCGTCAAGAAAAATCATCCCACTTAGAATCTTTAGTTTGTTTTAGATGAAAGCATGATAAAATCATACATGCAAGAGAATTTGAAAAAGTCAAATGCTAAGGAACATAATTTGCCAAGACATTAAGTAATTTTCAAAGAAATTAATTAAATTTGATAAGTTCAACCTCCAAATTTTTGAAAGAAATGAAGAATAAGATTTGAACAAAAACATTCCGAATCTATCTCTACCAATACATTTTCATTAATTATTAGAAAAACTTAATCCATAAAGAGAATGCTTGTGCGTATATTTATTTATATTGTCAATCTTTCCTAATATCATGATATGGTCATCAATTCCGTACTTTTGATAAAAAAACATATTGATTGAGTTGAGGTCCCAAGCATCTATGAAATTATCTCGTTTTATTATACCACCGAGTTGAGATTCGTTTAATAACGTAAAAGAAGTTATCAATCATTTAGGTGGAACAACTTTTTCTTTGAATTATAATGAGATTCTAACAATTTTTAGTAGAGGATCCTTATTCAAATTCTCCATTTTAGCTCAATGATAAAACTTTCTTTCTAATATTATATTGAAAAGTGAATGAATGTTGTCGTAACAAAATAAAAGAAAATATCTCATATTTGCATGAAAATAATAGATAAATAGATAAGTTCATTCTTTATTGAATACATAGCATTTAATGCATAATAATGTTATTTCCACACTGAATGGATTTCTATTAGTTAATTAGTTAATGAATAAAATGGCTAGTCCGCAAAGGAAGGCATGCGTAAAGTGGCCTTTTCACATAAGTAAAGCTTTTTTAAATAAAAGTTTATAAGTTGATACGTAAACACGTTCATTACCACTCATTACACTTTACGACGCGAAGAGAACGTGTACCTTATAATAAATTTGTTCAAGGATAATGGCTTTCTTTAAATTTATATAAACATTCAAAATTATCATTACATACGTGCAATGAAGTTTTAATAAAATATTTAAATGTGTAAGAGGAACACCAAATTTTATATTTTCACTCAATTTTTAGCAGTTTGACAATAAAAGTAATAAAAGTAGCAATTTAGATTTGTACGACCACGCGTAACCATACCATTTTGTTTCAAAATATATAAATTTTCAAATGTTAAGGCTCGAAGAATTTTGATTCCTTTCTGCTTGAATTTCATTACGGCTTCTTTATTTTTTATTTTATTTTTTTTTTTCTACGGTCATCAAGTGGTAATCAAGTCTTTTGATGGGACGGCAATCTTTTTTTAACGTTAATGGATAAATATCTTTTGCTTTCAACACATGTATGTAACCGAATAGGAAAGCGATTTCGCTTATAGTATTGATCCACACGGAAAAATTTTTAGGTTTTATTTTTTTGTTTTAGCTTTCACAAGATCGACTATTCCAATATTAAAAAGAAGATAAAAAGTAGAAAAATATTTACCCCACGTATGAACGGTCGTTTCACAACATGGGACATTATAAATTTTCAACTTTGTGACTTGTCCATTAACAGATTCAATCTCTCTCTTTTTTTCTCCGTTCTCAATTTTTTTTCCAAAATTTTATTTTATTTTTTATTTTATTTTATTTTATTTTATTTTTTTTGATAATAATAAGAATGACTACATCACGTTTAAATGATGATTGCATCCTTTACATTTTAAAATTCCTTCAAAACGATCGTTCAACACTTTTTAAATGTTTAATGGCAAATAGATTTTGGTCTAAAATCACAATCCCTTTGCTTTATGCAAATCCCTTTGAAAGGTTAAAAGATGATAAGAAACATTTAATCATCAAAACCTTTCTTTCATGTTTAAATGAAGATGAAACTTCATACTTGTTAAAATTGAATGATGATTATAAAATACCAAATCTAAATGATTTAATAATCAGTGATGTCCGACCAATTTTTGAATATCCTAAATTTATTAAACAACTTTTAACAAGTGAAATACAAAGTGCGATTGGTCAATGGACTAATAAATATATTGAAAAAAAGTCCATCCTAATTTATGATTTATTACAATCATTAACCCAAGTTTGTTATCATATGTTTTTGAGACAAGGAGTACATCTTAATCATTTGGAAATTTATCCAAGTATCTTTAAGTCTGAATTATTTGATCATCTAATCATTCAAAACCTTTTTACGTTATCCACGTTAACTTTATCAACTTGTGATGATGATACATCAGAGTTCAAGAGGGGGAATATCTCGGATTTCTTAACGGTCATCGCAAAGAATTGTAAAAGCATCAATCAATTAAATTTAAAGCAACCGAAAGTTTATAATTCAATCGAGTTATCTACGATCATCAAAAGACAAAAGGAATTAAAGGAGTTCATTTTCACCCATTCAGAGAATTTGTTTAAAAATATCTTCTCCTCATTAGAATTTCAAAAACATTCCTTGGTTACTTTGAAATTTCGTTACGTGAATTTTCATGAATTTATCCTACAAAGTATGATCAATTTATATAATTTAAAGAGTTTGGAAATTAATTCTTGTCATGGAATGACGTTGGAACTTTGTAAAATATTTCATCTCGCTTCTTTTAAACTTAAAGAATTAATCATACTGGGTAATAATTGGGAAACGAGTATAACCATAACGATCATTAAATATTTAGGTATAACATTACAACAGTTAAGGATTATCAAAATTACGTTGGAACTTATGGAAATAATTTCTCAATATTGTTTAAACCTTGTCACCTTATACATATCATTAGAGTATAATATCAATCCTTCAATATTTCCTTATTTCAAAAATTTAAAAATCAAAAATCTTAATATTATGCCTCAATACATAAGCTCTGAGGATGGTGAATTAAAAACTTTAGATTTAGATAAATTGGCAACGAACTTTTCAAAGGATGTAATTAAAGTTTCTTTGTTTTCATGTCAATTTATGAAAAAAGAAATCTTGTCAAGTTTTTTAAACAATTGTCCTAATCATATCATTACTTTGAATTTGAGGAAAAAACTTGATACGGAATATCTTGAAATCATTTTAAATTATATCAAGAAAAAAAATAATAATTTGAAATTTTTGGGTTTTTTTGGTTTGGATAAAATTCTGAGTAATGAAGAGTTGGAAATGATCAATCAAATTAAAGAAAAAGGAATCAAGCTGGTTGAATTTAATGAGATTTTATAAAACTGTATAAAAAAAAAATTTATTTATTTGTTAAAAAGAAAAATATTATATATATTAATATAATTTTTTTTTTAGTAATAAACAAATTAGCATATATACATATATTTTACGTCCCAAAATTAAAAGATTTTATAAATATGACGTAATTTTCCATTTTTTTTTTAATTAATCTATATATGGTTAAAATCCATCATTTTAAAATTAAATTAAGATACTTTTTGATGAAATAAATTAATATCCTGCCGCAATTCCGTGTTTTCTATAATCACTTGCGGCTATAAAAAGTGAGGAATTCGATTAATAAATAAAATTTTTTTTTTTAACGTTTAAATTATTGTTACTTACCATTAACTAGTCCATTAGATAACCTCATTACGGCTTGAATTTCTGATTTTCCTGCATTAAAATCCACAAACGTTATCTAAAATAAGAATCAAAAAAGAATAAAAAGAATTAGAATTCGTTTAACTAAAAGAACAAAAAAAAAAAAAATGATTAAAATATTATTATATAATACACACCGAATGATTTCTTTTTCTAAGTTCTTCCATTAATTTCTCTGAATATCCAGTTTCAATTGATATCTAAATTAAGAAACAATAATAATTAACAATTAAATAATAGAATTTATATTTTACTTTTTTTTAATTGATATATACTGACTTCGTTTGGAAGCAATTGATGATGTACTCTAGGTGCATCTATGGATTCTAAAATATCTTTGTCAAATTCATACACGTTCAATAACACCTATATAATATTTTTGATAAGTAAAGATATAATTCCTTTTTTAATCCATAAATATTTAAAATCCACACCACTTACCTGAAGGATTGAAGAAAGGATTCTAGAACCTCCACTACCACCAATAGCCATTTCGAATTCTCCATTTTTCTCAATTATGACTGGGACACATGAAGACAAGGGTTTCTTTTTCGGTTCTTCATAAAACAAATTATTTATTACAGGATCGTTCGTATATTATAAATATGAAAAAAGAAAAAAAAAGGTAATTGCGAATAAACTCACGAACGTAATTATACGGAGAAGGCCTTAAGCCAAAATAATTTGGAACACCAGGTATAGAAAAGTCATCCATTTGATCATTAAGTAAAATACCGGTTTCCGAATCCAAGACTCTTGATCCCCAAATTAAATTAACCTTTCAAATGATAAAAGTATTAGAAACATATTTTTTTCCTAAATAATGAAGGATGTACACATTTTTTTTCGGAATAGTTACCGTTGAAGTCAAAGATACCGCTTGATTATATTTATCAACAACCGAAACATGCGTTGTTCCATGATCTTCTAACACATCATATATTGGATTATAATATGATGGTTCGAAAGTTATAGACTTAACAAAAAAAAAAAAAAGGATTATGCAAATTATTATTTAATTTGAATAATAATTAAATATTATAAAGTTATAAAGATTATGAAACATACGTCTGATATGTTCTTTCTTATTTTAGCCGCAAAATCCTTGGTCATTATTTCCTCAATACGCTCTAAGTTATTTGTCTAGTAAGATAAACATGTGGTTAACGGGGAATGATAATTTTCGACATCGAAATAATTTTGCTCATTAAGAATACTTACAAATAATGGATCACCCATTTCAGTACGCATAGCAAATCCGACTAAATAAATATATTATAATAATTTATACATTAATAAAATGACAATCATTTTATTTAAAATTAAAATATTATAAAATCATACACTTGAGAGTCTCTATTATTCTAAAATATTCAAAAAGAGAAACGCGTTAATAAAAGTCGAATGCTGTATAATAAAGTTGAAAGGAAATAATATACATCACAATTACCTGTGCAAATTCTTTCCATCAAGACCTTCCCTTGACAATCGATAACCTTCTAATATGTTTAACATACTCAACAAAACAGGTCCACCAGATGGAGTATTTAACGTCATAACCTAAATCGGTAAATTATATTTTAAATTAGGTAAGAAAGTTTGTAAAAACCTAATAAGGATAAAACATTAAATCTTTAAATTGACCTTTCGTCCGTGATAATATCCTTGAATAGGTTTCGATATAATTGGTTTAAAAGTTGCTAAATCTTCATGGGTCATGATTCCACCAGTGGATTGAATGGATTTTATGATGGAATCAGCTATCGATCCCTAAAAAGAAAAAAAAAAATTGAAACAAAGTTTCTTCAAAAAAAGGAGTGAATAATTCTCAAATTATAAATACTTTATAAAACACATCAGATCCATTATTAGCTATTAATTCCAAAGTTTTAGAAAAATTTAAACGTTTCAGTAAATCTCCTTCACCCAACAATATCCCATTTGGTGCATAAATAGCAGCCAAATCTGGTGTTCCCTCAAGGTCTTTTTTGTAAGTCTAAATCAATTAATTAAACAATTATGTCATCAAAATTTAAATTGATATAATTCAGCACTTAAATGATTGAATAATTACCCTCATACGCTTTGATAACTCAAACGGTATTTTGAATCCATCACGACTTAATTTGATTGAAGGTTCAAATAGACGTTTCCAAGGTAATTTTCCATATCTAAAATTATTCAAATTAACGTTAAGATATCGCACATCAAGATAAAACATCAGATCAGTTGACGAACAGTGAAGAACCCTACTTTTTATGTGCGATTTCCATTCCAAGAATCTCCCCGCTAAACAAAAATGATATTGGTTAATAAATCTTTTTTTTTTTTTATGTCAAAAAAAAAATATATATAATTTGTTACTTACGGGACACCAACAGAAAGTCCACCATATTTAGCGAGTTCCGGATCATCTTTAAACATACTATTATTTGCAGCAGCGGGTGCAATTTCTCGAAAATCAATAGTTTCGGATGTTCCATCAGAACCACGAATTATCATAAATCCTCCTCTGTAAGAAAAGTAATATGGAACAATTAATTATCACGCAAAGGAATCCATCCGAATTAACTAACATCAATATGAATTCATACCCTCCAATACCGGCCGAAAAAGCATTTATGGTACCAACACATAGTTCTGCAGCTATAGCAGCATCAACAGCCGAACCCCCTTCTTTAAGTACTATAATATCAAACAGCTTGGATCAAAATCAAATTTTACGTAAATATTAACATTAAATCATTTTATCTTACTTTCAACACCAATATTGGAACACTCCTGCTGTTCTGCTGCAACCGCTCCATTACGTGCAATTACGAGTTTAGAGTCGGTAGGTATAGGAATAGCTGAAAAGGTTTGTGCACGTGATCGATCAGTTATGATTTCGTCACTATTATAGCCCATGTCACACACACTAAAGTGCGAAAAAACATTTTTACCTTTTGACCCAATAATGATAAATAATATCAATCCAATAAGAATCAAATATATGATTTTTTTCCATGATGGGGATTTTGATTTAATTTGATTAACTTGATTGGAATATGAACGAAAATTTGGCAAATTAGATAATAAGCCTTGATGAGGTTTTCCTTCTTCCAATAAAGGTGAAGATCTATCGGCCATGATGTTTTTGTTTTACGGGAAAATGAACTTCAAGTTGAGGGAGCATTATATATAGTTTTTCTTTCATATATAGAATCACAAAATTCTAAAATAGTGAAATAGAATTCTAAATCAGGAATTATATAAGATATATCAGATATATATATTGGGTGCTTTTGGTATAAAATTTACACTACATTTTAAATCAAATGTCATTTGAAGATCTCCTTCCTTATTAAGCTGAAATGATAAACTTTGGTTTTGCGCAATAGCAATTCCAAATGATGAAATTTATTCCCCCGATTCATAATCTTATTCTTTACGTCAAATGATCAAATCAACTGATCTCACAATTGCAGATTAGTAATACTAGGCGGTCCCGTTTTTATTTTATTTGTATCACACAAAAATATTTGAAACAACTTTTTAGCACGTTTTGTAAGGCGTCAGATTCTTTAATTATAGAGAAATGTTCTTTATTTCTAATTTAGAAATAATTTGTAAATCAATTAAATTTACTCAATTAAGGTTAATTACCTTTAATTAAAGATTTGGTTAATTAAACGGTAATTAAACGGTAATTAACCATTAATTTCTTTGTTGATTGGTCGATTCAATTTCGGTTAAATTATCTTTCGGTTAATTATCTTTCGTAATTATCGTCACTTCCCTGGGATTCGCAAACTTAAATTTTAAATAATCGTCTAATTACTCATTGCTACATGAATTTTATAGTATAATTTTTGAAATCGCTAATGCTATTTAATTAATTATTTTGTAAAAGTAAAAATTTTTGTTTGAAAATTATCATTTTTTTAATCTCATAAAAGAAATGAACCTTCTAGTGAAGAAAATATCAAAAAAATTTAAAAATTATAAAAATTACCAATCCGTTGAATAAAGATTATTATTATTGGTTGTATTGATATAAATTTTCATATTCATTACTTCTAGTATTTCCAGCTGATAAATTATAATTAATTCCTCCTACATTAGCTCCACATTCTGGACAATGACTTGCTTGATTTGCTAATCCACAGTTTGCAATCGCATACTAATTATATAATCATTATTAAAATAAAATAAAAATTCAATATAATACTTTTTCTTTTAATTAGGATTTATTTTTTACTTACTGTATGACCGTTTGGACATTGATACCAATGACCTAATAATATTATAATCAAAATAAATCACTACAGAATAATTTTTTTTTTTTTTTACACAAAAAGGAAAAAAAAAAGTTTACCTGAACCTTGAAGTTCAATGTTCATCGCTCTGAAGATTTCTAACTTTTCAGATCTCAAAATAGCTTTACCTCTGCAATTTTCCAATTCATTAACATCCTTAGATATCTGTTGCATTCGTGAAATAAACTGTTTTTGGATATACTCCCCATCAATTAATCCAATTAAACTCTGTAAACTTATAAGTGACTGTTGAACATCTTCACAAAGTCTCGAAACAGATTTCTTTATCCTTGTCGCTTGGTCTGAAGCTGATTTATTAGAATCTATAATTTCATAACTTAGGATGAAACCTCCATGATGACATTGAATTTCACTTAACTCTAATAAAGCAAAAGCGTAATCTCTATAATATTTGGTTTCTTTTGCAACTTCACAAATAATTTTAAGATGTTCAACTGTCGTTTCTAAAATAAATCTTGTAAACTTGATCCAAGAGTTACGAATACTGATAGATTGCAGCGTGGTTGTATCACGAACTGATTGTAAATAGAATTGATTAATGTTTTCATGTAATGTCAAATCCAAAGCATGAACAACATGTTTGGCTTCCATGAACATTACTTTTTGAATATGCACGACCTCAAAAAATGCTTTGACATAGATTCCATAACTAACAACGGGCAAAGGAATACCAACTTGTTGAAGACATTCCCTTTGTAGAGTTAATTGATGCATTGAACTCTTTCCAGACAAACTAAGGGTCTCCATTTGTTCGGCAAGTTTCAATACATCGATCTCTGTTTCCGCAGCTGATCTTAAATGATACAAATTTACAACGGCTGCATCGAATGCACGTTTGTATGGAGGATCCTTGGTGCCCGTCATGATTAAGAATATCTCTCGATAACAGCCAATCAAGCGAAAAACATGATTTGCCCAAAGTGTTTCATGGACCTTGGAAATATCATGTTGCACAATCTCTGCGAATTGCTGCACCGGCGTAAGTTCAGGAACTTTGGTATTCAATGCTTGAGATTTATAATAATCTTTTCCTATTGATTTTTCTTTTGCGGACTTTACAATCTTTTCAATGAATTGGTCCCTTTTATTTTCTAATTCCTTAACTGTTTTTTCTAATGAATCTCGTGTATTTTTTAATGATCTTGTATATTTTTGTAGGAATTTCATTTTTGCCGCATCTAGCGTTATTTTCTTACTTACACGTCCATAACGACGAATACTGTTAATTGGATGTCTGCAGTTGGGACAACATTTAACCTTTGACATTTCTTCTGGAGGAATCTTTAATCCAATCCATGTTGTTTCACGTATGACGTAATATTTGTCAAGTTCCATAAGTGAATCCATTGATTCCATAGTGAAACAATGACCACATTCCAATACAATCAATCTATGTACTTTCCAGTCCACCTCCTCAAAAGATTCTTGCAAATAAATATCGACAACTTGCGATTTAATTTCGTCACTCGCACATAATACACAATATTTTTGTGGAGGACCTACATGATAAAAATTTTAGGAAGTGATCTAAATTCTTCTAAAATATCATTACCTGAATTAAAATATACATTACATTCTTCGCCACAGACACTAACACAACGATGCCCTAGAGGTTTAAAAGTTAATTCACGAACAATGAGGATAAAAATCAATCTCGAATATTAATACATACCACATGATAATAACTAGGTTTCGTAATAATCAAATAAGAAATTAAATATTGGTTAAAATTTTATTGATAATGGATAGTTTCATAAAGGAACAATAAACACAACCTTTTGACACTGTAAATCACAAGGCAAGCGACTACACGGAGCACTGCAAGAAAGCGCACAACCACCTATTAATTAATAAATTTTTTTTTTTTAAAAAAAAAAAAAATTTAAAAACCTAAAAGCACGATTAGAAAGCCAACCTTGATGTTCACAAATCCAATTACATTGTTCGGCACATGTAATACCTATAAATAACAAATTCATATAATAGATTTGATGAAATGTTCTATAATAATGGAAATAATGTTGTTACTTACATGGTTCACTGCACTTCATCGTGCATTTTGAGTGGTGACATTCGACCGAGCAATTTTCTTTACAAGGTGGACACGCTCCCTTATGACACTTATTTTAACAACAATAGATACAAATTATTATCTATATAATTCAAATCAATTGATATAATAACTTGAAACATACCGATGCTGCGCAAGCATGACCACAATAAAGAATTCGTCCACATCGTTGTATACATTTCAGGTGATTAGTTCTCACGATATGGCCTTGTTGGTCAATTTTCGGCTCCTTGTTGTTTGCTGCAATTGACCTCTTTTGACACTCACAACACTTATTTTTGCCTGCAGATTTTGTTTTTTTAAAAAAAAAATAGTATATAAATAGATAATAGTGGAGGTAAACAATTCGTTTTATAAATAAATAAAACCATAATTTTACATGAATGTCCACAGCCTTCCAATATGATTCCACATTCATGGTCACAACGTAATGAATCAATAGATGAACTACAACGTACACTTTTGAATCAAAAATAGTTAGTCTTTCAATTTAAAGTTTATTTTAAAAGGAGGATTTTAAATAATTACTTGAGCTCATGACCACAAGTTGGTAAAATACGAGTTACCATGGTATAACACATGATAGATTTGGGATCCTGTGACTGATAACATTTCGGTGAGGTAAAATAGTGTCCTAAATTTATAACATTGGTTACAGTTAATTGTCTGAAATAGGAATATTATATGGATATGGAAATAAGGGGAAAAATACCGCAAGACAATAAGATATCTTCTACAATGATTTGGCATTCGCCGCATGGATCTCCACACTTTAAAACATTAAACAAATTAGAATGCTTTGAAAAGACAATCATAAAAATGTTATAGTATGAAATACCGGTAATGGGCAAACGTGATTACAATCGTGTAATCTTAAACATGGACGTTTACAAGATTTTGCCGCTCCAATATGATCCGGATCATCAGGATGACATTTATAAGCTAATAACGAAGTGAAATTAATATATTATTTTATACATGTAAAAAGTATGATCTGAAACATACAACAAATGTGTCCACTATGAATTAAATAAATATTACTTAATTAGTAAAAGTTCATCCATAAAATACCAATATTTCAAAATCATTATTAAAAATATACCAAGGCATAAGACGACGGCAAGGTGACTAAAATCCAATTAGGTATTTATACGAGAGTTTTGTTAGCAAATGAATCCTATGTCTAATCGATAATAATCTGGCAAAAACTTACATTGCAACCGCCATCAGGTGAACTTTTCTGGAATTCCTCAGGACTTTCGATATAGTTTATAATGTCTGGATGTGATTCACATAAGATTGGGAATGTTTCTCCAACTTGACCTCTATGATAATAACAAATTCATTTAATTTTTTCATTGATAAAGATTTAATAAATGCAAGAACCAAATAAATGCTACCTTTTACGCATTAAACCAATTACAGACTTCCACATATCTGAACGTTCAGATAACAATTCCGCATTACCTATATTGCAGATAAAATATGTTAAAAAGTTGAAATTGGAAACGTTATTTTAAGATTTATTTAAGACTTACCTAACATGAACATTCCATGTTTGGCACGAGATAAGAGGACATTTGTTCTGTTTGGCGATTTTAGAAACCCGATATTTCCATGGCTGCCACTTGTCGTATTTCGAACTAAGGATACAATAACTATTGTCGCTTCTTCTCCTTGGAAGTTATCCACAGTCTTCAACGTAACTAAAAATATGCAATTTTTTATCAACAAAAAATTGAACATGAAAAATTAATCAGAACCTTTTCTAACCTTGGCGTTGTAATGAACGTTTCTCTGCAATTGACACTGTTCCAATAGGATTTTCATATTCTGGATCTGCTTCACCAAGAAGTTCTGTAATATCTTGATTATCTCTTTCATCGATAACTAAATAATGAGAAGATTTTTAAAATACACACTTTAATAATTATAAAATAAAAGATTACGCTTATGAAGACGTACATACCAACAACAAATGATTCACGTAAGGCATCTCTTAACTTGATTAATTGTCCAAGATACGGAGTTAAAACAGCAATATCATTCGGCTTATCGTATCCCTAAACAAAAAAAAAAAAAAAGGATATCATGATTAAATATAATATAAAGTTCTAACATTACAGCACTCGCAAAACTTACATTGCGAACAAAGTATCGAATTAGTTCAACGACAAATTCTACTTCAAATGTATTTGAGTGAGACTGAAGTGCAAATTGGTTGGAACCAGCAGCATCTTCTGAATGCCTATGATCAATGAAAAAAAGATTATGTGGAGTTCCCCGAACTTTAGGATACTCTCTTGTATTTGTTCCTAAGATGAATGAGAAAATTATACAATTTATTACAATGAATCAAATAATCGTAAAAGATCTTAATTATTTACCATCGGTAAGCTTTGGATACAAGGTTCCTCTAATTAAATCCGCAATTTCTGGTCTCATTCTTCTTTGAATAGTTAATTGTGACATAGTAACACCTTCGTTTACTAAAAATGAAGTATTTTCGTATCAATTATTGAACAAAACATAATTATAAAATTACATATATAATAACAATTGATGTCATTCAGATGAATACAAAATTACCTAAACGTTCAAACAAAGACCTATCTAACATGAAATATTCGCCAGGTTGACTATCCACAGATAATGTATACGTAGCAATATGCGGACGTAGTTGCAGATGATCACCTAAATTTACAAGGTTGTTAAAATGTTATTAAAAAAAAAAAAAAACCTATTGAAGTGAGATTTTATTACCGATTAGGATCAAATGCTGCGTAGAAGGTGTTAACGCACTTAATATGTGAGCTTCTAAAACTTCTCCTGCTTCTTCTACGATAATTATCTATAGAAAACAATAATTATTTTTTTTTTTTAATATGAATACTTTTAAAATGTTATAAAACAACTTACGCGTGGAGCAACAGAACGAATTAAAGATTGATATTTCGCGGCTCCACTTGTCGTTAATCCAATAACTTGACAATTTTCTAGAATTTCGCGACGACCTTCATCATTAATGTCTTCAATTTCTTTTCTTTTTGCAGTGTGCTAAAGACGAAATGATGTGTTAAAAAAAAAGTATTAACTGAAAATTCTTTTCGCCAAGTACCTTCATTTCAAAATCTGCAAGATCAATGATAACTTCTTTACGAATTGCCTCACGGAGATGATCGTGTAGACGTTTACGTTCAACTCTAGACATATTCCATACATCTGTGTCCTCAAGTAATGTTTCTAAATCTCGATCCTAAGAAAATTTCGTATAATGAGTCCAAGACAATCAATATAATTATGAAATCATTTAAACAAGATTCAAAATTAATAAATCACCCCATCTGGAATAACCAACTTCTGAAGCCAATACTCGGTTTCGTCAGTTTCGTCGCTTTTTATGTAATTGTTACCATTATTTTGTCTAATTTTTTGCGATTCGTCGTAATTAAATGTATCTTCAGCATTTTCTTCTTCGCTTTCATCACCATCTTCAGCAGTTTCATCATCCCGAGGGATATTTTTAAGAAATTCATACATATTATTAGGTCTTTCGTTTAGATCGTCTCTTTCTTTTCCTTTTTTTGACATGTTCTTTTCAGTTGCATTTTGATTGCGATAAATTGCTTGAACTAATTGTTCCCGTCGTCTAAAAAAAACGAATTTGTAGAATAAAAAAGAAATGGCTCATATTAAATATGCAACAGTTATTTACCGAATATCAACGCCATTAATCCATTGATCCCATATCGATTGATTTTTCAGTTTCTCTTCACCAACGGTTGTCCATTCATCTTTATCGCCATTCTTATCCGTTTCATCTGGAAGCACGTTGCTTTCTTCACTTTTGATATTTAATAAAAGATCTGGAAAATCTGGTCCATGGTTATCAGTGAATTGCAAATAATAAGCCATATATTCAGCCAATAGATGATTCTTAACATCATTCCATGTCATCAACTCTCTAGAAAGTTTTTCTTGTAAATTTATTGCTTCATTTTTTATTTCATCAAGTTCTTCATAAGCTTCATATAACATGAAACCTCGATGTGATACCTTAGGACGACTACGAGAAATATGCTCTAAATTAAATTCTTTTATTCTATCTGATTTACTTCTAGATCCCAAACGAACAATTTTCGTAATATTATTATCAAGTAGACACTCAAGAAATTGATCCAATGCATGATTTGTATAACAAATGGTAAGAATTGGCCCAATTGCAGTAGTTTTTCGATTTTTTTCGGAAAGTAAGACTTTCACTATTTCAATACCGACATACGTTTTTCCAGTTCCCGGTGGACCTTTAATTGAGATTTCAATTAAATAAGGAAATCAATTAAATATCGCGAGGAGTTACTTCATGCCAATTACCTTCAATTAAAGCGATTTCTCTTGACAAAGCGTCAACCAATGCTTTAGCTTGTGTTTCATCAAAAACACTAACATTTGGCGTTGCTAACTTTCTAATTGCATTTTCTCTTGATGTCTCATCTTGTACATTTAACAATAAGGAATCATAAGGATCTTTTAATAATATCGATAAATCAAAATGAAACCTAGGAGCTTTCGTATATAATGGAGTTTCTACTTGAATATTTCGATCGCCGCCTTCGAGTGATGACACCAAATATTGTCGAAATGGAACTTCTGAAGGATTAGTAACTTGTAATGTTTTTAATATATGGTTATAAGATTCAAAATATACTCCTGTAGATTCAACCATAAATCGTTTAGGACGAGAAGGATGATCTCTTCCCATTGAAATATCTTCTAAAACGATAGGATAAATTGAAGATTCGATGAAATGAATATCAATCATGGCTTCAGTTTCAAATCGTGATAGACGTTTCTCATTCTTTTCAACAACTACTCCAAAATAAAGGGAATAGGTTTGCGATGAATTTGGGTCGCTATCTTCATTTACTTTATTTTGCCAAAGGACGCAAATTAAACTACCACTCATCAATTTTCTAGATCGTTCCCAATAATGGAGACGCTGCTTTTCATCTTTGGCTGATTTTATCTTTGGTGGACTGAAATAAATTTGAAAAAATAACTTTTTACTATTTGTATAAATATAAATATAAATAATACATAATAACAACAACAACAATAACAATAATAATTTCCATACGTGAACGCAACACGAGAAATAAATCCACGGTATCGATTTACGTTAATAGAAACGAATCTTATGTTTGGATAAACATTAAGATCTCCACTAATATCACCCTTATCGTATCGAAATCTACCACCTTCTTCACGTAACTTTTTAAATTTAGCCTTGTTGTTATCCAAGTCTGTCAAAAAACGGGAAATACCCAATCTAATCGGATTAAGCATATCTTCTCTCAATAACCTGAATTGCATATCAAGAAGACGTGCAATCCCATCAGGTAAGAATTCTGAAGGACCTAACATAAATGAGGGCAAAGACGGCTCACGTGATGCCAAAATTTCATCTTTTGTTGGAATTATAGATATTTTGCATATTTCAAGAAAGTCGTTATCATGTCTTGGGCCAAGTCTAGATAATTCGCCTTTGATTCGAAAATAATTATATTAATTGTATAAAGAATTATAATAATTGATTTAAAAGTAGAAATTGTTAGACATTTAAACTAACCAGGTGGATCATACAATCTTTCAAATTCATTCATTCGCGCAAATTCACGGCTTTGAACGACGAGTTCAGAAGTTACAGTATTATTAGTATTATTGACTTCGCTTCTTGCTGCGATAAGAGATTTACGCCCATCTGACAAAACATAATCGAGTTTTTTCATTTCGTGATTTAAAATTTCAAAATAATATCGCCTCTTTTCAAGATCTGAGACCAATGCGTCGTCAGATTGAACTTTCGATTGACGTTCAGTCATCAAAGAGTCTTTCCATGCATTTAACGCACTTTGAAGACGGTGCACGATTTTGTGAATCGTATCATTAACAGAAGCTTCTTTAATTCGACTAAGTAACTCATTTAAAAAACGCGCAAGTATCAAGAATGGTTGACCAAATGTTGAAGGAATAAAAATATTAGGATCTTTGTTTAACGATTTTTCTTTATCACCTCTATCTTGAAGTGAATTTCTTCTAACTAATTCATCCAAACATTTCATAATATTATCATGAAAGAATGTATCAATATAAGTATAAACAACTGAATATATGGTGTTAACTTGTCTTTCCAAAGTCGAACCGCGTACCTTCATTTGTGAAGATATAAATAAAGAATTAATTAATAAAAATGACATAATTTAATTTAAAGGGTATAAAACTAATTTTTTAACAATACCCCATGACGGATCAATAATGCAAGAAAGGGAAGAATAACACTTTGAAATGAAGCAGTATCTTTTTTGAATCCAGCATCAACAGATATTTTGTACTAAACAGG